TGCGTCAGTCTTCAGGTAAGGATATCTGTTCTCCTAAATCTCCACTCATATGCGCACATTATGCTTTGTACCTGTATATAAATGCACTAATTTACTTCATTTTATGCCAATATATAAACATATTCATCCTCTAAAAGAATGTATTTTGTCCTGCCTATCATTTTCTTGAAACTCGCTTCTCATTCGATTTTCATTTGTTACGCTTCTGGAGAACATCACCAATATACCATCAGAAACTTGCTTCAATATTTTGTTAAGAAAAATGTTAATGGCACTCTTCATGAAAGAAATAATTTCATGATATTCTTCTCGGATTTCATTTGTGCAGATCTTATCGGGAGTTCATCACCGAGTCAGTCGTCAATTGATTCCATAATTGGTGAGACTTACTGAAGACATTGATGCTAGTACCTACATCCTTTGTTCTTTATGATTTTAACACCATATTTTGTATCCATTAGATGATCCCAAGGGGGGCCAAACGAGGAAAGCAACATCCGAGGAAAGAGACGAGCAAATTATCACAACAATGGATGATGTGATGTCACCATGAAATAAAACGAATGCTTTAATGAATGGAAACTTTGTCCAGTTGGTGGCGTACGCCTTTGTATTTGTATAGGTTGTTCGCTCCCATTGAATGTTTCCCCATGAGAGAGCTGCCTTTTGAGAACCGTCTTTTCTTGTATAAAGTGGTGCTTGAAAAACTTTAATAGAAACCTCAAATAGGCTCGGTGTTAATGTTGTCATGGCTTCCCAGGTTGGCAATGGATGCTCTCTAGGTTCGGTGTTAATGTTGTCATGGCTTCCCAGGTTGGCAATGGATTCTCTCTTGTGGCAGTTTTTGGTCTGACAAACTCCCTTCTGCTTTTATGTTGAGAAAAAAGAAGGGGGGGGGGGGGTTGAGTACTGTCAAAAATATGAAAATTTTTATAATCCAATCTAATACAATTTAAGTTTTCAATTACGTAAACCAAAAACGTAATGATAATATATTTAACTGGTTCTGTGATGAGGAATATCTTCAAATAAAAATAGTGTCAGAGGGCAAGGGTATTTGAGGCATGAACTGTGGTGCCAAATTAAGCAATGTTTGATCATTATTTAAAATTTATTTTTACTTGAACGTTTTTCCATTAAATAATTTTATACGTAAATTCAAATTTTTTTCTATTTTTTAACGACATTTTTCAAAAAAATTCTATTTTAAAACACGTTTCTTCCATTATATATGTATATATCAAAGAAAAAAAGAAAAAGGGGGGTCTTAAACGGGAGCTAAAACCAGGGCGACGACGAATTAAATTATTCCAAGGATAACGAACAGAGAGAATAATTTAGAGGCCCAACCCTTCTAGAAAAGCCCAGTGGCCTGGCCTAATAAAAATCGCTATTATCAGGCCCTGAACACTTCAGCGTTTTGGAGCATTCTGGGGCCCTGGGATAAGATCGTGATCAACGGTGAGTGGTAGCCAATATAAAAAAGTGGAAATTACTAGAAACCCTAGTATTAAAATCCTCATTTCTCAAAACAGATTGGTACTTTAATCTTTCAAAAATCAGAAATATTGTAATCTAATTTATGGTAATTAATTAATTATATTTAATTATTCTCCCCCGCCTCCCCCCAACAAAATCCTATATCCTTTTCAATATTTTCTCTCTCATTCATAATCGGGACGCCAATCACTTTCTCTCTCCCCCAATCTCATCCTCTCTCTCTCTCTCTCTCTCTCTCTCTCTCTCTCTCTCTCTCTCTATACACAAAAGCTGGCGCTGATCGAGATTGGAAGCTGCTCCTGCCAACGCGATCGTGGAGTTTGTGTGGTGGCGGTGTTGGCAACCAGTCAGTCTCCGACAGATCGCTGTGTGGTGGTGGTGGATATGTCGATGCGATGCAGATCGCGGTGATGGTGTGCAACAGCGACGTGAGGCTGCAGATCCCCCAAACATATTTTGTCTCTCTCACCTCTCGTCGCCTTCACGAGCGGCGCATAAGTTGACGGGTGGAGATGCAGTGGTGGCGACGGCTGAGTCGGGTTTGGAAATTTTTTGGTCGGTGTAGTCGTGGCAGAGATGGATTCTTGGTTTGTGGCGTCTCTTTTTGGGATGGATTTGTGGTAATTTTTTAGGTGGTTTTGTGTTGGTGGTCACTCGTGGTGTGCAAGGCCTCGTGATATGGTGATGTCGCGATTGATATTTAAAATCTCTGCGTTGTGGTGGCTTTGGTGACGACGGTGGCTTTATTGTGGTGGCTCCACTCTGGCGGTGGTGTGGTAGTGTGTGGCAATGGTGTGTGGTGTGGCAGTGTTGCTGTAGGGGTGTGTGTGTGTGTGTATGTGGCGGTGGTTGTAGTGGTCATTGCGGTTTGGTTGATGTTGTGACAAATAATTGGACTTGTGACCTAAAAATTGTGAATGTAACGCCCAATTATAACTCACAATTTGGGAGTCACAATTGATCGTAGAAATTTTGGTGGTCATGGTGATGATCGTGACGGTTTGGTTGATTTGTGACTCACAATTAGATACGTGACTTGAAAATTGTGATTGTGACTCACAATTGAATACGTGACCTGAAAATTGTGACTATGAATCGTAAGTGTTGGTGGTGGTCACAAATTATTTGGTTAATCGTGACTATTAAATTGTTTGATCTGTAACTAATAAATAATATATGATCAATGAAAAAGATAAATTGTAATCGAAAAATAATGTGTGACCACTAAAAAAGATAAATTGTGACTGAAAAATAATGTGTGACGTAAAAAATTGTTGATCTGTGATCGATAATTTGTGATTATATAATAAGCTGTGACTTATAATATTTGTGATCTGTGATCAATAAATAAATCGTGACTTATAAATTTTTCAATTTATGACCGATGAACAAAATGTGACCTATAAAATTTTTGAACTGTGATCGTAAAATAAATTGTGACATAAAATTTCTGATTTGTGACTAAAAAATAATAAGCGACGAATTAAATCTTTAATTTGAGACCAAATTATATAAATTTGTGACTTAAATATATTTAATTACTAAAATAATTAAATTATAAATAATTTTTAATAAAAATATGATTTTTGAAATTTAAAACTTATTTTCTTGTTTTTGAAATGTGCCATAATTAATCTCTTATGAAATTTTCCCTATAAAAAATTTACCTCAGCCCTTGTTTGACCCTATTATAACGAGAAACTTGGATAAAATGTATTCTGAAATGATAATTTTTGGAAAAATGTGTTATTAAAAAAGAAGAAAAAGTTTTGAATTTAACTGTAATATTATTTTATTAGAAAATATGAAATTTAAAATAAAAGAAAAATGTATTAAAAATTTAGGTGATCATATAATTCTGTCTCTCCTCCAAGGTTCTCCCGCTGTCCTGCACACCGTTCTTGTTAAAGAGTTTGTTTTATTGGTGAAAAATAACGCTGATTTCCTTGAGCTGGAAAGGAAATCTGGTTCATAGTGCTAAATTTACACGCTCAAATGTACGTCTCTTGGTTGGCCATGTGCTTCTCGTGGAACGCTGTTGATGCATCACAAGTTTTTATTGGTGGACTGAAACACCATCAGCACTGCAACTTGAATCGCCCGTTTGTATGTACATTCGCATGGGAGACCAAGTCGACTAGTTATTAATACTGGAACTGGTTCGTAGGCACGTGCAATTAGCAAAAATGTTGATATTAATGCTAGAAATTCTAGCTCTTCAGAGGACCGTCTATAATAATTAGACACGACATAAGCTTACGGTAATGCACCCTTAAAAACAAGGTTTGCAGTACCTTAAGAGTTAGAGACCATATATAAGAAAAAGATAGCAAGTATCCCACACTCAGAACTCGAGGCAAACCAATTGACGTCCGACCGACCCTGAACCGACAGACAACTCCAAATCGTAAAATCATGTTTTCATATTTGTAATCTGATACTCTTCATTCACCAGACAACGCAAGGCTTCAACTCAGTCAAAACAGGAACCCTGACAATAACGTGAGATCTTACTTCTCACTGCCAGATTTTTCCTGCTGCTCAGTTTCATTTTTCTTCTCCTCAGATGCCTCTTTGGCCTCTTGCTTCTCTTCTGTATCCTTGCTTTCAACAGTTAACTTTTCAATAAGGTTGGCAGCAGTAGTGCCTTCTTCACTATCCTCAGTAGTTTTTGCCAGAGATTCAGTGATTTCTTCAATTTTATCTTTGAAAGATTTGCAATCTGAAATGGAAAAACAAAAGATACCAAGTATATCAATGGACAGGTCCAAATCCAGAAGTAGAAAGAGCAGCTATGGGCAAGAATTAAAAGTTGATCACATATGAATATGTTTTACATTTTCTCTAGTTATCAACACTTAATTCCAAATAAATAGAATTTTATAACTGGAGTCTATAAGAATGACCCACAAGATTAAGCGCATGATCAATTCACGTCTTTTGCGTGCTGCATGCTAATATTTTTTGCTTTTCCTCCAAGAGAACATATGCTGAAAGGACAAGATTAAGTTTATGTATCTCTAAATTCCAAATATGCAAAATTTGTAATTTTTTAACCAAACATTAAAGCTTGCAAAAATATCCAAGTGATATATCCATAATATTGCCAAACTAAGATAAAGCAGAAAACAAAATTGTACCAAAGCTAAACAGCAAAAAACCAAACAACTGCCAGATCACACAGTTAATTGTCAACTAGAATTAAAATTGCCTTCTGATTCAAATAGAAGTATGTGACAACTATCGTTCTAGAAATGCAAGAGACCTACATTATCAAAATATTGATTAACCATGGCATGAACATTCGGAATATCGTATTAAGGTCACCTTTCTCACCCCTTTCTTAATATATCACATCTACTGAGAAAATTTTGCTTTTGTAACAAGGACGTCAAAAGCTGAAATTCGATTAATGTAAATGAGCAAATGTCA